AAAAAAGCCACTTATTTTTTTTTTTTTTTTTTTTTTTTTTTCTGGCTGGTAGGTACTGTGTTTGAGAGCTGGCTCGGGAGGTTTCGGTGCCTGTTGTGGGTGATGCAGCTGAACCTGCAGGGAGAGAGAGAACTGACTCGGGAAGGGTGGTGAATGTCCTTCTCCCCTGCCCTGCTCAAGATGTAATTAAATACCAGGGGAAGTTACCTTCCAAAATTTGTAAATTGGGTACTTTAACAATTCTTACGCTTCCTTACTTGCCAGGATGGGTAACAGAGCTAGAGAGTGTGTTCATAAATACGTCTTATGCTGTAGCCTGATTCTGAGTTGCATGCAGGCAGACTTACCGCTTCATCCTGGTTTAGCAAAGCTTTAAAAAAATACACTTCCTTGTTACCAGTCAGAAATAAAAAACAAACAAACAAACAAAGAACCAAAAACAAAACCAGTGGGTTTGAGAAAGATGTGGCACATGTCAGTTTGTAGCTTGATTCACTGTGCTTTCATTCTCGGAGTAGCTAAACCAGGTTTGCCAGGTTAATGATTTAGACTTTTTTTTTTAAGCTGTTATTAAAATATCCTTGCTTTGAATGTTTCTGATCTTTTTATAGGTAATGTTAAAGTAATGGAGTCCAAAGAACTGCTGAACTCGTCGGATCAAGACGAAACGAGGAAAAATGCGCTCATCAGTACCAAAGGAGGGATCGTGATGGACTTTCATCCACCCTTCAGGGGTGGAGCTACTGTACAAGCCCCTGTGTCTACATCTCCTCTCCCCGCATCTTCTCAGACAGATTCCAATCAGCAACCTGCTTTGGCTGACTTTTCAAAAGGATTAGTAAACAATGTGCCTCAGCCAGACCTTTCCAAGGCAGTATCGCTCTCGATGGGACTGTACATGGGTGAAACAGACGCAAAAGTGATGGGAAACGACCTTGGATTTTCGCAGCAGGGCCAAATCGGCATCTCTTCTGGAGAAACGGACTTCAGGCTCCTGGAAGAAAGTATTGCGAGCTTGAACAAGTCCTCGAGCCTGGCCGAGGACGCAAAGGGAGCAGTATCTTCTGAGGTGCCGCTTGAGCCGGATTTCCCAGGCATGGCTGGCCGCAACGCCCCTTTAGAGTCGGGAACTGCAGTCCAAAGCCAGGTTGGCTCGAATGGTGGCAACTTGAAGTTATTTTCTGAAGACCAAAGCACCCTGGATATTCTCCAGGATTTAGAATTGCCGCCGGTATCGCCTGGCAAAGAGCCCAATGGAAGCCCGTGGAGGCTTGACCCATTGCTAGATGACGGTGGCTTGCTGTCCCCTATATCTGCAGATGATGCATTTCTCCTGGAAGGAAATCTCGGTGAAGACTGCAAGCCTCCTATTTTATCTGACACTAAACCTAAAATTAATGACCGTGGTGACCTTTTACCCAGTTCCAAAATGCCAATGCCTCAAGTGAAAACAGAAAAGGAAGACTTCATTGAACTCTGTACTCCTGGCATAAAGCAAGAAAACATGGGCCCAATTTATTGTCAGGCAAATTTCTCTGGGTCTAGTTTGCTGGGTACTAAAGCCTCTGCCATATCTATCCATGGTGTCAGTACCTCTGGGGGACAAATGTATCACTATGATTTAAATACTGCATCGCTCTCTCAGCAGCAGGATCAGAAACCAATTTTTAATATCATTCCATCTCTTCCTGCCGGTTCAGAAAATTGGAATAGGTGCCAGGGATCAGGGGATGAGACGTTAGCTCCTTTGGGAACGCTCAACCTTTCTGGCAGACCTGCTTTCTCTAATGGCTATTCAAGGTAATTAGTTTTTGTTGCTCTTTATTAAAATACTACAAGTATGTTTAGCACAACTGCATGCATGCTGGTTTGTGGTTTGGTTTTTTTTTCCCCCTTTCAAAGTCAGTCATCCCTTTTTCATTTGTTATGTATGGCTGGCTGATCAGACATCACTGGTGTATATTTATTCCATAGCACGATAGTAGCTTTAACCAAGTACTCAACTATTGGTATTAAAGGGAAGAAAAGAGGAGGGGAGCTGCTTTAAAAAAAAAAAAAAAAAAAAAAAAAAAAAAAAAAAAAAAAAAAAAAAAAAAAAAAAAAAAAAAAAAAAAAAAAAAAAAAAAAAAAAAAAAAAAAAAAAAAAAAAAAAAAAAAAAAAAAAAAAAAAAAAAAAAAAAAAAAAAAAAAAAAAAAAAAAAAAAAAAAAAAAAAAAAAAAAAAAAAAAAAAAAAAAAAAAAAAAAAAAAAAAAAAAAAAAAAAAAAAAAAAAAAAAAAAAAAAAAAAAAAAAAAAAAAAAAAAAAAAAAAAAAAAAAAAAAAAAAAAAAAAAAAAAAAAAAAAAAAAAAAAAAAAAAAAAAAAAAAAAAAAAAAAAAAAAAAAAAAAAAAAAAAAAAAAAAAAAAAAAAAAAAAAAAAAAAAAAAAAAAAAAAAAAAAAAAAAAAAAAAAAAAAAAAAAAAAAAAAAAAAAAAAAAAAAAAAAAAAAAAAAAAAAAAAAAAAAAAAAAAAAAAAAAAAAAAAAAAAAAAAAAAAAAAAAAAAAAAAAAAAAAAAAAAAAAAAAAAAAAAAAAAAAAAAAAAAAAAAAAAAAAAAAAAAAATTCTAAGATACAGCCTAGAGGGAAAATTGAGTACATGGTAGAAGAATTCATACACAAGGCAGTATAGAAGGAAGTATGTAAGTGTATACAAAAGCGACTTCATTCTCAAGGGTTAGAGGATCAACGACTGTGTGGTTTGTGTTTTTGGCTTTTTTTCTTCCTAGTGTTACTTAAATGTTCTGCACAAAAATAACTTGGTTGCTGGGTAAATTTCTAGAATTACATTTAAGCTGGACTAGAGTTTTAGCTTTGCTTGGTATTGTATTTACCTTACATGGACAAGATGATTCCAAGTAGGAAATACTCAGCGGTTTGTTTAATAACTGCATTTAAAGAGATAAAAATATTTGCAGTAAGATTTAAACATACCTGGAATTTAACTCTTAAATAGAACTGGAGGAGGGCTTGCTTATAGGTGTTTTTTTGAGAGCAGAGTATTTTAGGGGAGCTGGTTAGTACGTATTTCAAGTGACTTGTGTTTTCTACAAGTAATTCAATAGTGCAGATATTCAAGTAAAAGACTTTTCCTCTGCCTGTTAAGAGTAAGCGCGATGGTGGCAGCTTTCTCAATGGGTAGCTGTGTACGTCTCCTCTCGCAGCCGGGGACGGGTTCTGATTTCAGTATGAACACCTAGTTGTATGTTTTCCTCAGCTTTTCTTTAACATGTATTTGCGCAAGCACAGTGTTTGGTCTTGATGGAGGAAGAGGTTTTTGCTGTGTTTCTGTGGAGTCTTAGCTAGAAAATGGCTCTTCAAGTCTATATATGTAAAACCAGTAATTGTAGGCTTTTAATGAAGTATCTGTTTTAACTTTCCTTTTTTTTTTATTGCCCCACTGACAATTGATCCCCAGAGTGTCAGCCGCCAGTCCTGGGGCTCTCCCTACGCATTATTTGCTCCCTTTTCCCACGGTTGGAATGAGGTGTGTGAGCATTTCTTCTTTGTTTCAGGAAGGCAACTTTTAACTTGCTTTCATTCTAGATTTCTGTCATAGTTTTTGATTTTTGTTTTGAAGATGTGTTTGTTTGTTTTTTTCTTTGAAGTGTTTAAAGCAATTTGTAATGTAAGGAATCCAGAAAGGAAAATCAGAATTTGCGGATAAATTCCACTTTGATATATGAATATTGAATGTGCCTTATCATTTATTTTGACAGTAGAAATCCTTTGTACTAACCTTTCGCATAATCAGTCCAACTTCCATGTTGTTTTTAGTTTGTTTCATGGGGTTTTTTTGGTAGGTCTTTTTTATTTTGCTCTTGCTGTATCTTTAATGGCAATCGTTACAAAATCTGTATCAAAGCAAGAATAACTATTTCTTGGATTGGGAGGTGAATTTCAGTGACTGTTTAAGTAAGCAGATTCCTCATAGATAATGAAAACACCACTTTTGAGACTACTTCTTCTAAAGTTCATGGATTGTTTCTGTTTTACAGAACTATTTAGATAGAACCACACGCATTCATAGGTGAATGGTTTACACGCAGATGTTTGTCGGGCTTTTGGGGAATTTCATAAACACCAATTTTACATACTGTGTTTCTGATAATGTTGTGATGAAAAGCCCACTCAAGCTACTAATGTGTACAGAATACATCTCATCCTAGAGTAAAAAGGACAGCAGTGCTAGATGTTATCGTTGCTTTTATGAAGCAATTTTGAGGAGTGTGCTTAGTGTGTTTGTGTTGGAGCCGAGCAGGCAGCGATAGGCAGGCGTGCTGCGGAGCGCTGGCAGAAGCCCTCGGCGGAGCTCCTGTTGTAGGCGAGGGAGCATCCTCAGCATCGTAGGCAAAAGTCTGCCTCCACCACTGGATGGTATTAACAACGCTGTGCTGCAAGTGTTTACATTCTTGCTTCCTGCAAGGTTGTCTTATATTTTATTGCTTTCTTTTGCCTTAAGAGAATGGATTTTTTTTTTTTCTTAATTTAAGGAATGTGTAAAAAATTTTGGGGTGGCTCCTGGTTGAGTTTTGCATAAAAATTCATTATTTCTAGCCCTTATGGAAGCTGTTCTTACTTCCCAAGGATTTTTACACACTAAAACTACCAAGTCCAATTCTAAAAACGACATTGGGTTTGCTTTATTTCTTTTTTTTCCCCATAAAATAGAGGCAACTCCATCTTCTTTTTAAAATGTTTGAGATATTAATGAACCCTGGGTTTGAAGCAGGAATTCTCTTTCTTCCTGAGCCTTGTCAGAAATTTTTGGTCTAAACTGGGTTAGTTTAAGGTGTTGTATTGTGGGTTTGTTTGTTTATCTTACAGAAGACTTAACAAAATTGGCATTTGTTTCAGAAACAAAGGAAGGACTATCTTGCCAGGTTCCTGTGGTCTTTTTTTTTTTTTTTTTTTTTTTTTCATCCTTTTAGGTGCTGATTATGCAAGGTGAAGGCTGGGATTTTGAGAATTCATAATTGCTAAACTTCAGTTTCCAATAGGAAATATTTCTTGGGGCTGGCAGAATTATTTGACTGTTCATAACATATTAATTATATACTAAACATAAGGGAAGAAAAGCTGCGGTTCTGTCCTGGTGTTCAGGTAGTATTTAATCTGACTGTTTTAATGGAAAGCATGTAATGTCTTTTTATAGACACGCAGTCTTGAATTGGTGTCATGCAATTTTTGTGTGATTTTGCTTCTAAGGATAGCACAGCATGCTGTCTTTAATGAGACAAGTGGTAATCAGGACTGAGAAAGCTGATCGATTTTCCTATGAACAGTAGGTGATATTCTGAAGTTAACAAGCAGAATACGAACTTCAGAAATTTGTTCGATGTGAATGAATCGGCAATAGTCAAAAAATTGCTGTTTGTATCTCAGGGTTGTAGAAGAGTCTGCCAGTGCTTGTGCTGATGTGCAAAACTTGGAGCTGCAGCTCAGTGTTTCAGCAGCTAATACTCAAAATCTTCTTAAGCAGCAGCGAAACTCCAGACGGCAGGACAGCTTCATTCTGGGGTTGCCTTGGCGAGGTCTCCCATCTGAGCGAGCGAGCTGCCAATCGATTGCAGTGGAGCAAACTGAGGAGAAGGTGGATAGAAGGGGGGGGGAGGAAAGTAGGCTAACTGAGACAATTTGCCTTGGATTTTCTGTAATGGAAGGAGTGAGACAGCATCTGGAAGAGGAGTAAAACAGGCTGAAAGCATTTGGTAAATGCTTCACTGAAGAATTAGAGGGTTTGATGGTGTCTGTCTCTGATGGGATAGTATTTGTGATTTATTACACAAATGCCAGTGAAAACTGTTAAATTCAAGGAAATTATTTTAGCAACACGCACTCGTAGGACTCTTGCGTGGTATATACATTAAATCCATCGCTCAACTTTTTCATTCCTCTGACTTCCTGGAGATGTGGCTCATTGTGGGGGGAGTGAAGGACGATGAGAAAACAACACAGAGACGCAGGGGTTTCTGTGTGCTTTTTCTCTTAGCCTACAGCCAGGATTTACAAAGACGGGGCCCCGTTGGCAGTGTTACGGCTTCTCCTATTACATTTGAAATCATTCCTAGTACTTAAGCTTGTGGGGGATAAGGATCATTAAGGAAGTTTAAGAAAGGGCAAGAGCTGAGAGAAGCCATGAAAGAGGAGGAGAATCTGGAAGGGGGAAAAAGTCTTGCTGGTCAGTCGCAGTCCAAAGCCTTGCTTCCAGTCGAAGTTACCTTTCTGCAGTCACTCTTTAACTGGGATTCTTCTTGGTCTCGGATGCTTTACTAGAAGGAAGGGGAAAAACATGATCGTTTGCTAGAAATGGTAAAGGTCAGTTGTCCGTTTGTCTTACCGCATTGTTTCAGTTTGGCTTTTGGCCAAGGCTGGTGGCTTGGCACGGTTGGATGTACTACTTTAAATGTCATCTGACTCAGCAGTATATAATGTATGGTACATGTGGAAATATGTCTTAATCATTCTATTTTGATACAAAAAACAGACTTGTTATTTGGAGGGAGTGCTCAGGGTTTCAATAGTCTGTGTTGTGATTTGTCAGCTTAATGTAATACTGTACTTGGGTTTTGAGTCCTGGAAATACACAGCAAAAAATCTAATTGTTTTGGCAGGAAGGGATGAATCGGGAATGTTCTGCAGAATGTGCTATAAGGCGCTATGAAAAGGTAGCTAGGTAAATGATAGGTCGTGTAAGATGTAATCCACTGTTTCCAGTTTTAGCTGATCCATTCAGCTAACTGACAGCTGAGTAAATTTTTATAA